AGTATTGGCTGAGGCACGGTCTGTCAAAACTTAGAAACACACAAAGGACAAACTAGACACACTAAAGAAGGGCATCTCCAGCATTCTACAAGGACATCAACCCTTGGAACTTAGCAGAGAGCTACAACTAAACAGAACTTCATGAGGACTCCACAAAAGAGAAAAGAACTTGTAGCAATCAGGAACCCTGAGTTTACCCTGTGAGTACATGTGCTCTCTCTAAATTTGAACCTATTCTTTTCAGGGACTTTGTGCACAAAATTGGAGAATTTGCTTCCAATTTAGGGGAACTGTCTTTGCAGTGACTGTGTTTACTATACCTACTTAGTAAATATCTTTTATAAAAACTAATTAACTGTGTGATAATAAATGGAGGGCACATTGGATGGGGGCTCAGGACACACAGTACTAGAAACCTGAAGGTCCCTTGATATTAACCCTAGAACTCTGAGGGGGAGAATTAGTTATCCATCTTCTGGGTACTTTTGCCTGCTGATGTGAGTAAGAGTTAGGGAAATAATCCCAGAGAGGTGTTAAATTATCATATTAAAAATAGCCCTTATAGAAGTAGTCAACTGGGGGTGGTGGTGGGAAATCTTTGAATTATGATTTAGTATCCAAAATGTATAAATAACTAACAGACCCAATAGAGAATTTATTAAAGGATATAAACACACAAAATGCAAGTTATAACTGATCAGTAGTCAAGTCCACCAACAGGTCTTAACAAGTAAGTGTTGGCAGGTGAGCTTGTTGGGACGTCAATCATGCATTGGCAGGAATATGTGCATGCAATGACTTGTTTACAATATGATAATATATATATGGTTACATGACACAATATTGCATGATGAAAATTTCAATGGAGGGAAAAAAACACAAATTTACAATAAATTACTAAATTTAAGATGCATCATTTAAAAAAAATTACTCAAATTTAAAAAAAAAACATTAAAGGGTTAAAGAAAGTAGATTTCCAGGGGAGTGCTGAGTAATTTAAAAAAAAAAAAAGGGCAGTAGACCAAATAAATTCGGGAACCTCTGCCTTAGCACATAGTCTATTTTGTAAAATCACCATGTAGTGTTGGGATGTATATATATTCAAAATTTAAGTATTTAGACTCTTATCTTTTGCAATGGTTCCTTCAGTTCTATATTTAAGGAGGCAGGATAGTTCCTAAATAAATTGGGCACTGATGGGCAGTTATGTTGCTATGGTAGAATTGACAGGGTTTGGGCCCAAGCCGAGACCTTTGCCCCTTACACCAAAAAGAATTTGGGTCCCATTTCTCTATTGGCCTAAAAAACCCCACCTTGGACTCTCCTTGAACTATCTCCCCTGGTCAAGGAAGTCTCTAGAGGTCACCTGAGGCTATAATCTTATCAACTGGCCTTTCACTACCACCTACGCCCATGGGCTGAGACTTACTCTAGCCCACTTGTCAATACAAACATCACAAAAGTTTAGATTTCTTGAGAGTCTAGCCAATATGGCAGATCTTTAACAAACCTTGTCTTTGGCTGAAAGAAGGCTTGGGTCAAATTCATTCGGGCAGGACCCATGTCTCTTGTTCTCGATATTTCGAGGTCCCAGCACTGCTAAACCTCAAAAGTATCACTATGATAACTGTGCTTATACAGTCTGAACTCTCCAGTTAGGCTACAATATAGGCTGAGATCCTCATTCCTATGTTACCTTTTGAAATGTGGCAAGAAAGGCTGCCACTCAAAGTCTCTGAGATTAAAATGGCAGCAGCTTTTTCAGTCTGCTGTTTTTCTTGCTCATTTTTTCTTTTTGTTCATTTGCCTTTTTACCAAAGAAGAGAAAACAGGTCTAGGGATATCTTTTGCACAGCTTATGGAAGATAACACTGGCCCTCACTACACTCCTGTATTTTTATCCCCCAACTCAGTTTTGCTGAACAAAATATCTCTCACTTTTGAAAAAGGAAATCCTTTCTCTCTCTTTCACAAAGCATGCAAGACAAAACAAACTAAGTATTTATGGTCATTAGAATGTATCAATGTATTTTAGATAACACAATGAAAATAAAACAATTTTTAAAAATTGAAATCCCTTCCCCACCTTGACTGCTCTGACTTATCTAGTCTCCTTAAAGCAGTGGTGTCAAACTCAAATAGAAACAGGGCCACTAGAGCAAGGAATGCTTTACCTGTGAGATCTATGGGGAGGGAAAGAATTCATGACAAAACGAGAGATAGAGAGTATTACAAAATGTAAAATAGGTAATTTTGACTATATGAAATTTAACAGCTTTTGTACAAACAAAACCATAGCAAACAAGATTAGAAGGAAAGCAGAAAGCTGGGGAACAATCTTTATAGCAAATATCTCCAGTAAAGGCCTCATTTCTCAAATATATAGAGAACTGAGTCAAATTTATAGGAATGCAAGCCATTCCCCGATTGACAAATGGTCAAAAGATATAAACAGGCAATTTTCAGAAGAAATCAAAGCTATCCATAGGCATATGAAGAAGTGCTCTAAATCACTTTTGATTAGAGAAATGCAAATTAAAACAAATCTGAGGTACCATATCACACCTATCACATTGGCTAATATGACAAAAAAGGAAAATGATAATGTTGGAGAAGATGTGGGAAAATTGGGACTCTGATGCACTGTTGGTGGAATTGCGAACTGATCCAACCATTCTGGAGAACAATTTGGAACTATGCCCAAAGGGTTATAAAACTGTGCATGCCCTTTGATCCAGCAATACCACTACTAGGTCTGTATCCCAAAGAGATTATAAAAAAGGAGAAAGGACCTACATGTGCAAAAATATTTATAGCAGCCCTTTATGTGGTGGCAAAATATTGGAAACTGAGGGGATGCCCATCAATTGGGGAATGGCTGAACAAGCTGTGTTACGTGAATGTAATGGAATGCTATTGTGCAATAAGAAATGATGAACAGGCAGATTTCAGAAAATCCTGGAAAGACTTGTGTGGACTGCTGCTGCATAAAGAGAGCAGAACCAGGAAAACATTGTATACAGTATCAACAATGTGATGTGATGACCAACTATGAATGACTCAGCTCTTCTCAGCAACACAATGCTCTAAGCCAAGCACAAAGGACTCATGAAGGAAAATGCTAACCACATCCAAAGAACGGATGGACTCTGAATGCAGATCAAAGCATTTTTTTAATTTACTTTATTTTTTCTCGTGTTTTTTAAAAAAATTTGCTTCTTCTTTCACAATTGTGACTAATATGGAAATATTTTTTACATGATAGCACATGTATAAACTGTATTAAACCATCTATCATTTTCAGAAGAAGGGAGGGGATGGAGGGAGACAGAAAAACTTAAGAATTCAAAGTCTTGTGAAAATGAATGCTAAAAATGTTCTTGATATGTAACTGTGAGAAAAAAAAATACCATTTTCAAAAAAGGGAAATAAACCAAGCAGGGCCACTAAACTGTACATAAGGATCTCTGTAGGTCATATATTGACTTAGAATACCATATAATAATTTTGATAAGTTAATCATTACAATTCTTTCACACGGTGACGGACTTTTTATGATGTCTTCTTTGACCCACTCAGTACTCAGGATATTATTAATTCTTTATCTAAGTCTATATTTTTGCTTTGTATTCTATTATTGTATGTATTGTGTTTTGGTATGTTTATTATTTTTGCTTTTTTACATTTATTTATAAATTTTGTTTTATTGTATTTATTAATTTGGTTAAATATTTACTGATTACATTTTAATCTGGTTTGTTGACACTTGGGAGGATTTTGGCATTCATGGGGACTTCAGACTGCAATGTTTGACACTTCTGCCTTAGAAGGCAAGGGACAAAATGAGAAATTAAAGGGTTCTTTACTAGAAGTAGGAGAATTTGGTTTTCCTTGGAGAGGGAAAGAGATTAGGAGAGGATGACCACCTCATCCTCCTGGATTACATATTGGTCAGCAATGCAAGTTAATTAACATCTTGACCTCCCAGCTCATGCTTGGTTATCATTCTGAACTATGTTCTAACAGCTCCCATCTGCTCCAATGACCGCAGTTGTGCTGGGCCATTATAGCTCTTTCCAGTTAACACTTGTTAGGGTTTCCTCATGTCTTCCTTTGTACAAACCCATTCCAATCTGGGCTGATCCCCTAAACCTGGAAAACGTTGGGTAAACCCTCCTAGTAATCAGGTCGATTCCCACACCCAAGGCTTTCTAGGCACTGTGCTCTGTCGGCAGGGCCAAAAGGCAGGCATATATTTTTCCTTTTGTTTAACTGTTAGATTTGTCTACCTCTGAGAGAGGAACATCGAAGGTTGCTACAATAATTAATTTTTTTAAGACCCTTTTTTTTTCAAACGCTATGACAATCTTTCGAAGATTATACCAAGCTGAAAGTTTTAAGTATTGATGGAAGTGATGATGCAAAGGTTTCTCCGGAGGACCAGAGTAGCTAAGAGCTGAGAGGTTCATCAGCATTTTGGCCAGCTTAACTCTCCAAGGCCAGCTACCAATACCAGAGCTGGCACCCGAGTATGCGAGGTCACTGTGTGACCTTAGACCAGGTTCATTCCCGTCTTTGGGCCTCAGTCTCTCAGTCCACGCAAAGTGGGGTTTAACCCCTGGCCAGCTTCGCTACCAGGACTGCTGCGGGCTTCAAAACCAGAACCGACGAAGAAGCGCTTTAACAACTAACTGCTTTGTCCACTATCGGACGCCGTAGGAGTGGAAGGGATACACTAGGATGGCTGGCCCTAGCCCAGGGAGGTAGGGAAGAAAGCAAAAAGCAGCAGCCGGCGTAAGACTTCTGCCACCATTCTGGAACTGGGCGGTTCCCCCACCCCAACCCGCTAAGAAAGGGCGAGCCAAGACGGGTCGGGCCGCCATTTCCCTGCCCAGTTGCGAGCTAGAAAGCGCGTCCTCCGATCGTGCAGGCGGAAGCCTCGTGACAGGCGGCCTCTGGCTGCGCTCCTGCTTCGCCCCGCCCAGCAGCGTCGTGACGTTGCCAAAAGGCGCCGGCACCGCCCCTGCTCTCTCTTCGCTGGTGACGAAGTCTGTGCGCGACGTGATCCTGAGCTGGGGAAGGAGGTAGGAGGAGGCGGCGACGGCGGCGGGGCCTCGGGGTGGGGGGGGTCCAGGGTGGGGCGGGGCCAGGCCGCGGGAAGGGGGGGCGAAGGCTTCGGAGCCTTAGGAGGCCGTGACATGGCAGGGGTGGGTGTCCACAGGAGGCTCTGGAGGGGGTGGAGTGGGTTGGGCAGAAGGAATTTGAGGGAGGAGGTGGGAGAAGGGCGTCCGCGGGGAAGAGCCGGAGGAGGGAGCGTGGTGGGCGGGGAAGGGGCTCCGTGGGCTCATTCATTCATTCATTCGCATCCCTGGGTCAGGCGTGCACTTGTGTCTGGGATGGGAGGGGACCCGGCTGGACTAGACTTGGGGAGCCCCCAGTCTAGCTGGAGACTGACAGAGCCTAAGGCTCGCTGAAGAAATAACTGCTGACATGTCATTATTATAACGCGAAGTAGGCGCCCTCGCGTCTAGATAGCCTCCTTTTTAAGGACCTTGTGGAGCAGTGGGACCTGGAAGCCGATAGGTGTCCAGCCACTTGCTGGCCCGGTCACTCTGAGCAAGTCACTTAAGCAGTAGGTTAATCAGTAAACATTGATTAAGTGCCTACTGTGTGCCAGGCAGTGTGCTAATGGTTGGTAATATAAAGGTAAAGACAGATCCTCTTCCCAAGGAGCTCGAAATCTATGGGGGTGACAACGTAAAACATGTACAAACAGATTTTATACAGGATAAGTTAGAGATAATCAACAGAGGAAAGGCACCAGAATTAAGAAGGATGGGGAAAGATTCCCTATGGGAGATGGGATTTTTGCAGGGATTCGAAAGAAGCTAAGGAATCCAAGGGAGAGCATGCCAGGTGTAGGAGACAGTCAGTGAAAATGTTTAGAGAGGGAAGGTGGAGTGTCCTGTATGAGGAATGGCAAGGAGGCTGGTATCACTAGATAGTAGAATATAGGGAGAATGATGTAAGAAGATGGAAGTAAATTATAAAGGAAGTAAATTATAAAAATAAATGTTAACAAATCCCCGAAGTGTTAGGGAGCCACTGGAGTTTTATATTGTTTATTGAGTAGGAGAAGCGGGGAATGTCTTGGTCAGACCTGCACTTTAGGCAGGTGAATGGAGGATAGCCTTGTAGGGAGACCAACCAGCATTTTACTGCAATAACCCAAATATTAGGTGATTTAGGGCCTCTACTGGCACAGTAGCATCTGAGGAGAGTAGGAGGCACGTGCTGAAACGTGGAGGCCTCTGGATGGTAACTACTTAGAGCCCCAGGAAATTCTCTAAGACTGTGAATTTCAAATAGTTGTTACATATGCTTCAGTAGAGATCATTTCCTCACTTGGGAGTTTATCATACTTCCTTATATTTCCCAATGAAATCACAGGTTCAGTCCCTAGGCCTTTATTGATGAGGAAACCAGGCCCAGAGAGGTGAAATAATTTATCTAACAATAGCTGACATTCATATGATGGTAGAAGGTTTACAAAGTACCTCCCCTCCCTGTTTGGAAATCCATGATCAAATAATTCTGCCCTTGTTCCTGGCTGGAGTGTGTCAACCCACTCCTCTAGGGCCCCATCCTATAACTTTCTATACCACAGTGCCATTCCCTCACCACCTTTGTCCTCAGTATGTTCTTGTTAATAATAATAATAACAACAATAGCACTCATTTAGTGCTTTAAGGTTTGTAAAAACTTTATGTATATTATCTCATTTGATCCTCACAACACCTGTTTGTGGGAGGTGCTGTTATTAACCCCATATTTCAGATGAGAAAACTGAAGCTTGAGAAAGGTTAAGTCACTTGCCCTGCGTCACACAGCTGGTGTCAGAGGTTGAACTCAGGCTTTCCTGTTTCTAAATCCTCTATCCACATTGCCACCTAGCTGCTTCCCCTTATTATAGGCTTTCTTAAGTGAACTTTTAAAATAAAGTCTTTGGACAGCTACATTTTGTTGTAATGGTTTCCTTTGTAATCCTGTGTTTTATGAATTTAAAAACATTCTGAGGAGACGTTTCACCCAACTATTTAAGGGGCCCTTGACACACAAAAGGTTAAGAACTCCTATTTTAGAATTTAAGCACTTTAAGGGCAGATGCCATTTGTACTTTGTAGTAAGCACTTAATAAATGCTTTTTCATTCCATTCATTCATTAATGAGGAAGCAGGCCTAGAGAGATTAGAGTGACTTGCCTAATAATAGCTGACATTTAACGCTGACTGTATGATACTGATATGTCCTTTAAGGTTGATACATTCTTGACACCTTTCTCTTTCAGTCCTCACAATCATGCTTGATTTAAGTGCTTAGGTTTTAACTCTTGTTTTACAAATTGAGGCTCAATGCTAGGAATATAGACCGAAATTAAATGAAGAGCTGTCTTTACCTTTATATTCTCAACCATTAGCACACTGCCTGGCACACAGTAGGCACTTAAGCACTAAGGTATTGACTCCATTTTATAAATAAGGAAACTGAGGCTCTCAAGGAGGCAGTAAAGCATGTGTGTGAATAAGTATGCACAAAATGTGTGTGTGTTAGGTCTGTGTATCTCTATAAAATAAATACAGGCTAGTAGGCATCAGAAGCAGGATTCAGGGTGTCTTCTGACTCCCCAGTCCAGTGGTCTTACCACTACACCAAACTGAGGACGAGGACAACCGGAGAGGAAGAGACATGGCTGTGGAGATTCTCTGGGAGAGAAAGCTCACCTTTTGCTGAGGTCAAGAAAATGCAGAAGACTTCCAGGCGTGAGGAAGAGCCAAAGCTAGAGCCATGCCTTCCCTCAGACCTAAGGCCTCTTCCCCCAGGGGCCCTGAAGTTCTGTCCTCAGCTAATGACTCCAGACAAGAGCAGGACATTTACTTTGGATCTCCTGCCCACCCTCTGGGCTGGAGGTCCATGCAATATGCCATCAATCTCCTTGACTCCAAGACAGATTACCTTCAAATATTTAAAGGGCTGTTGGCAGGGTTGGATTCATTCTGTTTTTCCCCAAATAGTGTAATAAGAACCAGTGAGAAGAACTTGGGAGTGGGAAGGAATCAAGTCAATGTAAACAAAAACTTCCTACCAGTTAGAATTGACCCAGAGTAGGGCTAGGCTGCCACCAAAGGCAGTGGATTCTCTTTGACTGCTTGTCAGGAATGTTGTAGAAGGAACTGCTGTTTTGGGCTGGGTGAGAGTAGATATCCTTTACAACCCCTTTGAACTCTGATTCTCAGACTGCCAGCTTCCTGGAAGAGGGGGCCATTCATTTGGACCTGGAGGATGATAGTGTAACACAGAGAGTCAGGCGACCTGTATTTTAGTCCCCACTCTGCCACTGACCCACTGTCTGACCTTAGATGTCATATCTACTTCCCTTCTCACAGCCTCAATTTTCTCATCTGTAAAATCAGGAGATTTGGTGAGATGATTTGTAAGATCCTTTCCAGTTCTGACAAATTGTAGGCTAGGATTTTAAATGGAAATGCTCAATAATAGTTTCTTTAAGTACTTCTGATGGACATAAACTTTTTCCTCATACTGTTCCATTTACCCTCTGTAACAGAGTATAAAGGGAAGGGGGTGTGTGTATGCGTGTGTGTGTGTGTGTGTGTATGCGTGTGTGTGTGTGTGTGTGTGTGTGTGTGTGTGTGTGTGTGTGTGTTGTGATTCTAGCTGTAGAATTGTGGGAAATGACTTAAGCCACAGTGTCGGAAAGGAAAAGCACTTTCAGTCTGGCTCCAGATACTTCCAGAACAGCCAGAGCCCTAGCCAGCTTCTGTCAGGGAGACAGGTGGGTAGTATCATATTTGGGTGTTCCTTAGAGCCTGCATAATCCCTCCTAATGATGTTAATAAGAGCTAACGTTTATATTATAATGTGGTTTATGTGCCCTTCCTCCTTAATCCTCAGAATCCTGTGAGCTGGGCACCATAGTTACTATATAGAAGAATCTGAAGTTATATAACATACCAATGATGGTGCCTGATGTCGAAGTTGTATTATACATAAAGAAGAGCTTTGGCCCTAGAGTCAGGTCTTGGGCTAACATTCCATTCCACCTTCACTACCTGTTTGATCTCAGGCTAATCACTTCCTGACTGGGCTTAATTCTTATCATCTGTAAGATGGCCTCTGGGGTCTCTTTCAACTCGGGATCCAAGATCTTTTTTTTTTTAATATTTTCTTTTCCCCCCAAATACATGTAAAAACCATTTTAAACATTTTTTTTAATGTTTTGAGTTCCAAATTCTATCCTTTCACTTCCCCCTCCCTGAGCCAGTAAGCAATCCGATATAGGTGATGATAGCATGTGCAATCATGTGAAACATTTTCATATTAGTAATTTTGTGCAAGAAGACTCGAACAAAAAAAGAAAGAATGAATGAAAGAAAGAAAGAGAAAAAGTATGCCTTAGTATTCAAACAATATCAGTTCTTTCTCTGGAGGTGGATAGCATTTTCATCAGAGTCCTTTAGGATTGTTTTAGGTCATTGTATTGCTGAGAATAGTCAAGTGATTCACCATTCTTCATCATACAATATTGCTGTTACTATGTACAACGTTCTCCTGGTTCTGCTTGCTTCACTTTGTATCAGTTCACGTACATCTTTCCAGGTTTTTCTGTAAGCATCAGAATCCAAGATGTTATGAAGAGAATGGTAAAAGTAGGGGCAGGGGCATTTGAAGTTGAAGTCAGTGGAAGGGGCTAATGGCCTACACTGCTCTCGTCGTGAATGCTGGGGGTTATTTTACCCCTGTAAGGAGAGATAGGTGGCAGGTTTTATGAGATTTCCCTCCCTGCTGCCTTGAAACATACCCAAGCCCTCCAACCTGAGAAAACTCTCCCTACCATTCTCTCAGGGTATCATCCTATTTCTTTCCTCCTATTTGCAGCCAAAAACCCTTACAAAAAAGATCTCTACATTTGTCTAAACTTCCACTCTTCTCACTTGTAATCCTGGTTTCCATCCATTTCACTCAACTGAAACTGCTCTCTCCAAAGTTAAAAATGTTCTCTTAATTG